GTCGAGCATTTGTTAACAAAACATGGGACACTCTTTAAAAGGAAGTCAAATATATCTGCGAAACCCAAACTTATACATATCATAAGATTTCACTGTAAATCATATATTTATTTGGTACTAATTAACACAGAGGGATATCTCTATATATATATATGGGCAAATTAAAAAGCAGAGGGTGGGTGGGTGCCAACTGACTCGTTGCCTTTCCACTAACCCGCTCTTTTTTTTTTTTAAGAAAAAGAAAATTACTATTTTATCACTACAAAAAAACAAAAAAACCAATATTTGTGTGGAAAGAATCGTCACAAAAATTCTGTGATGAAAAATTAAAACTGTCATAAAATCGTCGCAAACCCACTATAATTTTCATCTACGTTAATGAAATTTGTCATAAACCGTCTTAAATTCATTAAAATTTTGTGACAGAATTGTCGATCATAAATATTCTATTAAAAACCGTCCTTTTTTTTATACTGTATGTTAAGTTGCAATTTTATTTTCACTGTGTCAAAAAAGTATTTGTATGAAATAATATTCTGCACTTATCAGAATAAAATGCTAAATCCACTTATACATAGGTTACGACCATCTAAAACTTCCAACACACTGTGTAATGAACGCCGACAACAACCCAGTATAATCTCACTAGTGGGGTCTGAGGAGGGTAGTGTGTACGCAAACCTTACACCTATTCTGGGTAGAGAGGCCGTTCCCAATAAACCCTTGACATTCTTCCCTCCAAGAACTTCCCACCTTGCTCTTGACGTAATAAACGTCAATCGAAATAATAATAGCAAAAATGAATAGAGTGTAACAAAAAAATCAGTAAGTTCAATGAATGACTAGGACGCGTATATATTAAGGTTAAGAAAACAAAAAAAAAAACAAATTAAAGCCGCCCACATGCAGCACATGCTTTAAACAGTTAATTAAACCTTATTATTATTATTATTTTTTTTTTTTGGATTTTCTATGTTCCCTTACATGATACACTACATACTGGGGTAGCCAACTGCAACTGAGATTCTAATACTTTGTTCACCATTTTTAGGTTAATAAATGTGCATGAATAAAGACCTTGTACTTTTACCTTCAATATTTTATTTAGATGTTCTAGTTTAATCTACCATACTTAAAACTTTTTTTTCATTTTAATGATCCTCTGGTGTCACTCACGAGAGACGTTAACTTCAATAAATTGTTTCTATTTATATATTATTTAAAGCAATTAGCAGATTTCGCTCTAACACATATTAGCCATAAACTTACTGATACAGGGTGTTTACAGCACACAGATAATTGCATGAGATGTGTTCACTAAAAGAACTATTTCTATCATTTAATTATGATTAATTAATATATATTCACATCTTGGTAAAGTACTTTTTTTAATTAGTCCGTCTTGTTGTGTGGGGGTGGAGGGTTGGGGGGGGGGGGAGGAGTTTGGTACAGACCCCTACTCTGTCTATTACTTGAACAATCGATGTACAAAAGAGAAGGAGGGGACATAAAACGAAATTTCCATAAATGCAAAAAATTAAGAAACACAAAAATCATGATAAATTCATATAATTTGGTGTAAACATCGGGTGTAAATAAAACAAAACTATATCTGATATGAAAGTTTTGTTCTTTGCCCTTGATATAGAGTTACCTTTGTTAGGGAGCTCTTTACATATTATTAATTTCTAAATTAAATAAACGTTGGTGAAGACTTATAACTAGAAGTTGAATAACAAACGTAAAAAACGACAAGAATCTATGATAGATTCAGTGGGATAATAAAGAAAAAAAATGTCCAAATTCTCAAAGATCGATTTGCCTGCATTAGCTAGAAGGAATCAACACACCAGCGTGTCGTACTTTTAATTCCTGCAATATTGTAGAATGTTCGTAATAAAATAAATCAATAGGTTTGATATTTAATTTTAATGTTTTTCCACATTAGAAAAAAGGATTTTCTCATGTAAAAGCCGAGGTTTGAGAGATAAATGCAATGGAATTGACTTCATAATAATTAGTACTTCTTTTATTATTTGAGAGTCAACCTTTTTAATTTTGACCGTAAATTCGAACATAGAATTTTTAAATTTTTCAAATAAAATTTATATTTTTAAAAACTACATAAAGAGTTCCATAAGTCACACGCATATATAATCATCATTTTAATTTTGACGAAAAACCAGTTTATGAGACATGCTTGTAAACGCGTATAAAGATGCATGGCGTTGAAATATAATACCAACCCGTAAGTTTCTTTTATTTATTGAAAAATAGATATAGGAATAACATGATGAATTTAATTAGAAATTAAAAGTATCATGGATACAATAGTGAAACAGAAAATTACTAAGCGGTACGAAATCTCCAGTCTATAAGGCGAATATAGTAAATACCACTAATAAAATAATATAAAATAGGTGAATATCTTAAATCCAAAATAACATATAGAAAATCATGTTTAAGTGAGATGGACATATCTTATGATAATTGAAACTTTTGCAATATTTCAATTAGGTTTTTGTTTGTATATAGCTTGATAAGCACTTGGAAAAACAAACACAAGGGACCGCAATTAAACAATTAAGTCAAGTTACGTGCATATATGTGTGTGTGAAGTCAATTATTCCTACAAAATTCCTCTTCTAGCTCTCTTTTCTAGTCTTTTATTAAAAATATATATTTGAAAACTTTTAAAATTTTAAATTCTAATTTTATCTTTAATAGTAACATACTTTTATTTATAGTCATAGAAATATATCATCTTCATATTAAGTCATAGTTTTTTCTTCCCTAAACTCCATATTTACTCGTATATCTAGGGGTTCTATAGGGCACGTGAACCCATGCTCCCCATTCTAAATTATGTATAAAAATATTATGTTTTTTTTTTTCAAAAATATTTAAATATATTTGTGTGCACCCATGCTCAAGGTATTATATGATGTGATGGTTATTGGGTGTACCTCTCTAGGTGAGGTTGTGAGTTTAAATTTAATGTCAATCTTGTTATTTTTTCCTTTTTTTTCTAGAAGTATACGCCCATGGGAGATGGGAGATGGGAGATGGGCGTATATGGTGTTATTTTTTGCGAATTAATTAAGTACTTTTCCTTTTTATTTCTTTTGTTGTTTGGTTTATTCTTTCAAAATTTTCACACATTATTAAATCTGTAAAATCTTATATGATTAAACAAAATATATATATTAAAACTAGTAGCGGTGTATGATAAGACTTATAGTCAATGAGTTCAACTAATCTCAATATTTACAACATGGAAAATAGATATAGATGTAATAAAATTACTATTTATTAAGAATAATAATTTTGAACTTCTAATTCGAAAAGTGCAACGGGCACGCAATCGTCAGAATTAAGTGTTGAACCCGTAAAATTTATATTCTAGATCCATCTCTTCTTAGTAGTGTATCCATCCTGCCAAAATCTTGGATCTGCCTCTGCAGTCGTACACCGCCATAACAACAAATAAAATTGAGGAAATATAACAAACGTCTAAATTCAGAAGAAAATAAATTAAAATAAAATAATCTACTTAAAGACCACGTGAAAATGGTGCCAAGTCGTTGTTGCGCACGTACTAGTAGTGATGAAAAAGGCATATATTAAAGCCAAAACTCTCTGCAAACAAAGTATTAAGGTTTGATATTAAGATTCTCCCTCTCTCTTCATCCCTCTTAGGAAACATAAAAAATTAGTAGTAGTAGCTGAAAATGGAAAACTTAATCTCTACTACTTCATCAACTTCACAGCCTAACGCACTTCAAAAAATCCTTCAGTACATCGTTCATAGTCGTCAAGAATGGTGGGTTTATTCCATCTTCTGGCAAGCGACAAAAGATGTTAATAACCGCTTTATCTTATCTTGGGGCGATGCCCATTTTCGCGGAACTAAAGACATAAGTTCCGCGAAAACTGGCCATCAACTTCAAAAGAAGTTTGGTTTCGAAACCAACGTTACAGATTCTGAGTGGTTCTATATGGTATCTATGCCTCAGTGTTTCGTGGCCGAGGATGAACTCGTCGTACGAGCTTATTCCTCGGCCACACACGTGTGGCTGGCTAGTCATTACGAGCTGCAGCTATACAATTGTGAGAGAGCTAAAGAAGCTGATTCGCATGGAATTCGTACACTAGTTTGTATTGCTACTCCTTGTGGTGTTGTTGAATTGGGTTCCTCCGATGTTATTCAAGAAAATTGGGAATTTGTTCAACTTATCAGGTCTCTATTTGGATCTAACAATAACAATATAACTTCTCATCTACCCATCAATCAAGGTATTTTGAGCTTTGATTTTGTTGTGTTTGAATTATATGATCAAAAAGTTAAACTGCAATCAGGGAGAGCATACCATTATTTACTTAATTATATTAGTATATCTTAATTAGTACACCCCTTCACATGTGGGCCTAATTCTTACGTATGAGCCAAACATGTGGAAATAATTTTTATTTTCCGATGTCGTTGGGATTTAGGTTCAAGGCCAAATGATTGAATGTATGATCTATCTAGTTAAAAGCTTATTAAACACAGACACAGGCGGTCCGTGCACAAAGCATCTTGTCTTCACATAGAGTTCAGAGAAGGACCGCGCGCATTTCTAGAAGTGTGATGTAGACAGTCTACCTTAATGCAAACAATAGTGACTGCTTCCATGGCTCGAACCCGTGACCTATAGGTTATACGGAGACAACTTTAACGTTGCTCCAAGACACTCATTCTCATTTAAAGCGTATATGTTGTTAAAAAAAACAAGCTTTTAATAACTTAATTATTTTATGTCTCAACAGTTACATTGCGAGATCATCAGAAGGAAAGAGATGGATCACCACAACAAGAGCCAGATAAGAGAAAGCAAGAAATCGTTACTGAAACGGCGATAAACAATATCAATCGGTCAAGGAAACGTAAGGCTGATTCGAGCAGTATAATAACAGGACGATCAGAAATGGCGATGAATCACGTCGAGGCAGAGAGAATAAGAAGGGAAAAATTGAATCATAGATTCTATGCTCTAAGGAGCGTTGTTCCATACGTATCCAAAATGGACAAAGCTTCTTTGTTAGCAGATGCAGTTACTTATATCAAAGAACTCAAAGCTAAAGTTGAAGATTTAGAATCCAAAATCCAGTCCCAGAAACCTAAGAACAATCTTATGGAGCAACACGATTCTCATAGTGCATCTTCTGCTGTATTTGATCCAGCTAATAATAAGTCATTTTCCAGTTCCAACGGGGGACGAAATGGAATGGAAATCGAAGTTAAGATTATAGGAACAGAAGCCATGATTAGGGTTCAGTCTTTGGATGTAAATTACCCATGTGCAAGATTGATGAATGTGTTTAGAGAAATGGAGTTTCAGATTTACCATGCAAGTGTTTCCAGTTTTAAAGACTTGATGCTTCAAGATATCGTGATTAGGGTTCCTGATGAATATTCAAACAAGGAAGCCCTAAAATCTGCTATCATGACAAGATTATGTGGTATTGATAATTAATAGGTAATAGTTAGCATATATGTTCTGTTATTATTATTATTATTATTATTATTATTATTATTATTATTATTATTATTATTATTATTATTATTATTATTATTATTATTATTATTATACTATACTAGCTTGACATCTACTATATGTGATTATCTTTGTAATATAATTTAGATCAATATTATATAAGTTTGTTTATGAACAAAAACTCGTGTTAATTACTCTTTTGTTACTGTTCTATTGTCTCTTTCATTTTTTTTGAATCGAGGGTCTATCGAAACAACATCTCTAACCCCAGGGTAAGGATAAAAGTTTGTGTACACACTACCCTCTCTCAAACCCAATTATGGAATTACTAGCTAGGTTGTTGTTGTGTTGGTTACTCTTTATGTTGTAGTTTATACGATCATAATAAGTTCATTTAAGGGAACTTCTTTTAGGAGCTCTTACGTAGGGGTGGGCAATTTGAGCCCAAACCCATATAATCCGCCCAGAGATTAATGGGTTGGGTTACAAACATTTTAGCTCATAGGTCAATTTGGGCTGAGCCCAAGTTAACCCATTATATTAAGGAGTTTTTACACCCGATAGAAAACCTTAGTGCCCTATTTATTTTAAATAAATACCATTTTAAAATATTACATCCTATAAATATCTTTTATCCTTTATAGCAAAAAATCTAAATATAGTTACATCCTACAATTAAGGCACCATATATGCTAAATATTATTTTTTTCTCTCCCTTTTTGTATTTTCTCTCACATAATTATAGCGTATTTGCAAACCCCAATACAATCTCTCTCTGTTTGCATACAACCAGACTCTCTTCTCCCACAAACCCTAGTTTCTTAACTCTTCTCCCACCCAAATTCTCAATTTTCTGCTCCATGTCACCAACGTTATCGTCAGAAAACCTTAAATAAGTCATAACAAGGCTGAGGAATGAAAGTGGAGAAGAAAAAAAAGAAGGATTTTTAAGAAGTTTGTTTGTAAATCTACGACTTACTATAGACGCCATAGCTGCAGAAGCAGAAAGGGAAAAGAGGATAGGCCACTGTCCGACGGGTTCCATTTTGAGAAAGCCTTCCAATGCTTTGTGCATCCCTTGAAAACCTAAACCAACAAAGGGTTTTTGTAGATGTGTTACGGGGCTGACCAGCCGGAATTAATGGCTGGCCGCCGGCCGGCGAAGCCATAGGCCTGTTTCTCTCTCTAGATCGCCCAAATCACCTATTTGTATTCAGTTGTATTCTTCAGCTGTATTCACTTGTATTCAGGTTTAATCAGTTGTATTTAACTATTTTATTCAGCAGTAGTTAGTTGTATTCAAGTGTTTTATAGAACTGTATTAAGTTGTAGTTAGTTATATTCAACTATTTTATTCAGCAGAAGTTAGTTGTATTTTGTTNCCCATTTATTGAACTAACCCATGTTGACCCGCCCAAATTCAGCCCAACCCGCCCATTTGCCACCCTTACTCTTACATTGTAATTGCATTATCCTAGACAAATCTAATGACATGAACTTGCACACACTACTAGAAATCTGCCAAAAACCCACCAAAGTTGGTCGGTTATGGCCAATTACCGACTAAAATGCAATCAAAAGATTCACCATCTGGGAATCGAACCAGAGTGTGTACTGTGGCAGGATACTATTCTAGCACTAGACTATTGGTGCATTTTGTTTTAAGATTGTCTTTTTTTTTAAAATTGTATTTTCGCACGAAAATAACCGACCGAAGTTGGTCGATTTTATTAAAAAATAAAATTACCAACCAAAGTTGGTCGGTTTTTTAAAATGACCGGCCGAATTTACCGACCAAAGTTTGGTCAGTTTTTTAATATTAATTTTTATTTATTTTAATTGACTCGATTCCTTGAAAAATAAATTTCGCGGGACTCAAACATAGTTTTCCGCACTTTTGCGCCAAAGAAAACCGACCAAAGTTGGTCGGTTTCGTAAAAAAAAATTAAAAAAAAATATTTTGAAAAACTGACCAACTTTGGTCGGTCTTTTGGCCGTTTTTTTAACCGATCAAAGTTGGTCGGTTTCGTAAAAAAAAATTAAAAAAAAATATTTTGAAAAACTGACCAACTTTGGTCGGTCTTTTGGCCGTTTTTTTAACCGATCAAAGTTGGTCGGTTTTTCTTGGTCGGCTTTAATTACCGAATTTCTAATAGTGACAAAATACAGTCAAATTAATACTCCAGGTCGTGAAAGAATCGTCTTATGCCTCAGAACATAGATTGTTACGAGCTATACCTCTTTATTATAATTACCTTATATAACAATATTTGGAACCAGTGAAGAATGCGACGGTTGTGGTTAATTATATGGTACTGGTTCTATGTCGGAAAACAACCGGTTTCCTTGTCTAGATTATTGAAGTAATAAATATTCCAAGCTAATAAGAGAGAAAAAACGTCATGTTGATATGATGATATCTGAGCAATTGAAGATAGTGACATCTTAAGATTAATTGAACAATACGAATAACGTTCTCATGATTCTGTTACGTCAATTCTTGTGCTATAGGGACTCGAAATGACTATCTTGGCAAATAAAAAAAACTAATCCATATTATTCGAAGGTGCATTAGAAACAGACCTATGTTCATTTACCAATTAACCAAAACCAATGGCGTAGAAATTTCATCACATGTATTCAAACTTTAAACAAGTCAATAGATTTTTTTTGTTGGTGAATAGCCCAATACTAGTAGGAGCCAATTAAAACCAGGAGCCAATTAGCCCAATACTAGTATGGTTCTTTGGCTCCTTGCTTGCATCATGTGCATCATATATATCTGCTTGTCCCATTATGTTCAGTTTGGTCTTATTTACAATAATTAACCTCTTAGACATTTTAGCTTTACAGGCATATTGATTTTTGGCTCTAATTTACCTGTTGTAACTTGTTTTCATGTCGAAAATATTTTTCATTCTTTAATCTTTGAAATGAACAGCATCAATCGCTGCTAATCATGATTTATTAAATTCATTGTTGTTTAGAACTTCAGCTCTACAAAACAAACTTCAGTCCTAGAATGCTGAAGTTCATCACAAACAGAATAAAGCTTTAGCTAAAACATGCTGAAGTTCAGCAAATCCAGAATAAAACTTCAGCTACTAGAATGCTGAAGTTCAACAATTACAAACAAAAACTTCAGTCAAAATATGATGTAGTTTTATTGAACTAAAGTTTACCATTTGCACTATGAACTGAAGTTTACGTGATTGCCTTTGCAAGTCAGGCCAAACTTCATGCAAAAATATCTGACGTTTTGCTACACCTCAGGCAAAACATTCCGAAGTTCAAACTTCAGACATAAATTTTTGCTACTTCTGGCCGTATGTCAAGATATGAGGACACATAAGAATAGGTGGAACCGGGATCGAATAATACAGAGGCATCTCTGTGGCAGACTGGACAATTCCTGTAATGACAGCATCTAAAGCAATAACATAAAAAAACAGGCCTGTCCACCGCCTGATCGACCTTAATCCCCATAAGCAATAACCGACTCACCAACACGCCTCAAACTGGAACCAATATAGCACATAATCGTGCAATCAACTTATTTAATAGCAAACTCCCCAACTTGGCTCAAAGACATAGATCAAAACGCACTCAATAAATCATAACGCACATACTCTATTATTGTCGTAATACCATAGTGAGATTGAACTCACTCCTTCATAAGCTTGTGGAAACACAAATCATCTAGAATTTTAACTCTTCTGCAATTCTTGCATTCACTCACATAACAGTTAAGCCCACTCTCTAGGCGACCAAACTTAGATTTCAACGCATATTCTTCACTTGTAAATGAGATCTTCTAATAGACAGTATAAGAATCACACCACCTTAGAACACTCCGCAAGAGATAACCATTATTTGGGTACGCCCCGAGAGTTTCCTTCTTTACCTGTTCATGTATCTACCCCGGTGGGCGATACTATTATTGTGGACTGTGTGTACCGGTAATGTGTTGTGATTATTGAGGGTCTGGAGACCCGAGTTGATCTATTGCTATTGAGCATGGTGGACTTTTATGTTATATTGGGCATGGATTTTTTATTTCCGTGTCATGTTATTCTAGACTGTCATGCTAAGACAGTTACTTTGGCTATACCGGGTGTACCGCGGATCGAGTGACGTGGTATGGCTGATTATGTTCCTAGCAGAGTAATTTCTTTTTTGAAAGCCCAGCGTATAGTTGAGAAGGGTTGTCTGTCATATCTAGCATTTGTGCTAGATGTTGGAGCTGAGACTACTAGTATCGATTCTATCCCAGTTGTGAGGGATTTTTCATCCATTGCATCGCCCTTGACCAAGTTGACTCAGAAGGGTGCACCGTTTGTATGGTCGGACGAATGTGAGAAGAGCTTTCAGAAGCTCAAGACAGCTTTGACCACAGCTCCAGTGTTGGTTTTGCCATCAGCTTCAGATTTATATACCGTATATTGTGATGCTTTATAGATGTTTTATGGCAATATTTTTAGGTTGGTGACCTACATGGCCTGGTCAAAGCCAGAGGAATTCTGTTTTGATAACTTGAGTATGTGTGAGCAGATTTGAAAGTTTTCTTGATGGTTTTTATCATAGTTCGAGCCGGATATCTTCTACCGATGCGCGGAACATATTGTATATTACGAACTCCTCCTAAATGGGAGCAAATAGAAGATTTCTAACTACCGGAATGTAATTTTCCTATAGCCCAGAAATTTCTAATGAGATTTTGTATTTGCAACAAGATGGCATGATAGACGTGGTGTGTGGTACATGATTAATATTTTCATGTGCAACGTGGCAGTTCATTCTTAAAGGGAAGGTCACGACTTCTGGATGGAATAGTCAGTTTCAGGTATTTAGATGAATGTTATAACTGCGACTGGCCATATATTTCTTTTTCTTTGGAACTTCTTCTAATGCTTTTCCATTTTTCAAGGTAACCACATTGACTTGATATTTAGGATTAGGCTCAGTGAGCCCCAACTGGT